TATATAACACTAATGAAATAATATTACTTATGACGAATAATTATTACAAAAATATTCTATTGGTTTATTGAATAATAATTTAAAACAATATTTTTTTGTATGTAAATATCCACAGATAGATTTATGCACTCAATGCAATATTTAATTTCGTTTTCAATTTCATTGATGATTATGTCAAAAAACTTGAAATATTGTTCTAAAAAAAACCCGTATCGTGTCGTGGTTTTGTGGTCAAACGTATTTGTATTCGTTTGAAATCTAACTCGTGTGTTTACGTTTGCAAAAATTTCGTCTGGAATATGAAGAGTACATAGAAGAGAAAAAGGAAAAGAAAAGAAAAAAAAAGAGAAGACTTGGTATTCGTCAGCCAAGGCCAGGGCTAAAGATTTAACAAGTCGGCGGATATATTTTCTCGTAAAGAACGTCACGAATTGTTACACTCGGTTTTCAGGCATCGATCCAAAAATCGGTCGATTAAACCTAAACAACTCATTAGTTTGTTTTTTTTTTTTAATTTAATTTTATTTTATTTTAATTATTCTTTCCCCTATTTTCTGTTGTTTTTTTTCTTTGCTTTCGATATTTTATTAGGGTAATCATTTTTTCCGTGATTAGAATTATTACTGCTGTCATTGTTTGACATTTTCATTTGACTTAGAATTAAATATTTTCCGATATAAATAAAAAAAAAAGGAAGTAGCCTTAAGAATATTGGAATTTTATTTATTTGTTTTCTTTTATCATAAACAAGATATAAAATATTTTTCCGACATTTATTGCAATGTGTTTTTTATACTTGAAATGAAATTTATTTCAATGCAAAATATGATCATCATTTCATATAAATTATTGCAATACTTTTATATCTATAAAGGAAAATTTATTTTATCATAAATAAAACACAAACCAATACGACTAAATAATATTCCAATATTTCTACTTTGTCTTTGCTATACAAATAATTCATTTCAACGGATGAAACTAACCTCAAATAATATTTCAATATATTTAAAAATATCGAAAAAGGAAAAATAATATTTTTCATATTAATATAAAAAAGGAACCCATTCACACACACACACACACACACACACACACACACACATATTCCTAATTTGGCGTAGAAAATTATTGAAAATTATATTTAAAAAACCAAAGAAAAAAAATAAAAGAAACAATTAAAAGTGAATCAATGAATCAATCAACGAACGAATTCAACGATCGATAAAACAACCGAAACGATTCTTGTCAGTGTTTTGTCTTTTCCAAGAAAAAGAAGAAAAAGGTGAAAGGAATAAAACGTGAAAAAAGTGTGGATAAATAGTAAAAGTATAAAATAAAAAACCAAAAAAAAAAAAAAAGAAACGCTAAATGCAGCCGAGAAATAGAACTCGCGGTGGAAGAAACTCGTGCCGGAAGTCGTTGGACTCGCGAAGCTGACGAAAACTCTCATTCGTTTAGGTGTGCACTACATTCGCAAGATCAACATAAATAATTGTATTCAAGCATATATGAAAAATTCTCATTTCAAAACAAATCTTTCAATTTTCGTATTCGTCATTTCATTCTATCCATCAATTATTTGTTATTTATTTATATATTATTTTATTTATTTCTTTTGTTTTTTTTTTTTCTTCAAATTTTCTTATTAACTTTAATTATTCATCAAACATTATAATAACACACGAGAGTTTTGTTTTTCGACGAAAAATTCTACTTGGGAAATGGCGCATCTAAGAAAACCAATGAGACGTGAACATTACAAAGCTTTTGGGAGAAGAAAGGTAAACGATTATTATTTATATTAATTATTATAATTTTTCTCATAGTATTTTATTTATCGATATTTAAGGCATCCTTTTTATCGTTTAATTCAATCAATTCGCATAACAGGTTTGCATCAACATAACCTAACATCATATGAAATTATTCGAAATGTTATTTATCCTGAAATGTTTTCCCAAAGATTTTCTTACAAAATCAAATCTTAAACGCAAATTGCATAAATTTTAATTAACTAATCATAAATCAAAATTTAGACAATCCTCCTCTTTCTAAGAAAAAAAATATCAAATTATTACATTGACTCATTTGAATTCTTGCAACTAGATTTATTACCGCCATTTTGAAATTCATTAATATCTATTAAATGAGTACAAAAATAACCTATTTGATGTCCTTCGTGAAATCATGATTGTAGCCAAGTTTTCCTTCGGAATTGTTTCAAGCATCTGAGATAATAAAATCAACGATGCGGAAATACAATATATATGAAAATATTTTAAACAATTTTGTATTAATTGTATCTTACACCAATTTTCTATCATTTTACTTTGTACACATTTAAATTTACAATTAAATAATTATATTGATTATCGAAACGAACGAACACACGTAGATAAAAAAGAAAAAAGGATGTCACGAAGAATTCGATCGAATAATACGAGTTAAGAACATAAAATACCTACACACGTATACTCAAATATACATAGATAAAATGAAAACTAACATAAATGAGGGAAGTATGCGCAATCGCGAGAAATGGAAACGATGTACTTCAAATTTATTTTTGTTCCTCATCATAGTGGCCCACGTGACCAATCTGGAAAATACCTAAGTATTTAAGAACATCGTTCCCAAGTATAATCAATTCTTTCGTACAAACATACTGCATCGTATCGTCGAATTGTTCATACAATTATTCGATATTTCAATTATTTATACAACATTTTGACATGATACGATCCCCATTACGAATTTTCAGTAACGATTAACTTAATATTCTAACAAAAAGAGAGAAAAATTATTATTAACAATTATTTTTCCATATAATATACCTGTTCGTATAAATTATCTCAAAACAAAAAACAAACAAACTCGTTTAAAAAATAAATAATATAAGTTACATTAAATTACTTCCAAAACAAAGTTTCTTATCAATTTACATAAAAATATATATTTTTACAAAAATAAAATAATCCAATTATTTGAATTTAACATTATAGTTTAATAATTAAGCAACAACAACAACAAAATACTGGACGAATAATTTATTTAGAATTCTAGAAGTCTTAGAAAAAATTAAATCCAATTAAGGTGTATATAACTTGTACCCTGGTTGATTTACTTTGAACACTTTGTCGAAGGTTATATGAAGTCTACTACACTATATAATAATGTGTGTGTATGTGGGGGAGGGTGAGAAAGAGAGAATGGGTTTTGTGTAGGTGGGAGAATGGGGATGATGAGGGTAAAGGGTAGTAGGGAGGATCGTAGACGCGTACGCACCCTAGTTCGACCTACATAACTCGACCTATATTTCAAGGAAACTTACACAACGTGGCCCTAGATCGGCCACGAGGAGGACTACTGCACCCTTTGTTGACGGACAGTATTATCCCTTGCATGCTTAAGTTAACTTAAAAAATGATTTAACCGATTTTAACCAAAGAAACGTGTAATGATAGGATTGGGGGTTGGAAAATGGGGTGGGGATGGGAGGGGGTGGGGGGGGGGTTAAAAGAAATAAAAGCGTTCTCGAGACAGAATAATTATTTCCAACAAGTAAACCTAACCTCTCCACGTTTCTAGGGCCACGCTTGTTTCATTCTTGTTTTCTTAACATTAAACCCTTTTATTCCTTTCGTGCATATGTTTAAATTAATTTAAAAATTATTTAACCAATTTTAACCTGAACCAATGTGTGTCATAATAAAATGAAGAATAATTTACAGTTCTAACAAGTAAACCTAACCTCTCCTCGTTTGTACGGCTGCTACACTACTTTCATCCTTGTCTTTCACGTCTTTCACGTCATTTTTTATTATTTACGTCCTATCGATTTTACCTTATTCATAATTGATGTTAATCGTTCGGCTCTCTCTCGTTCCAACTATTCTCTTATACCTATATTCGTTTAACAACTTTTCTTCTTCTTCTTCTTCTTTTATTTTGTTTTTGTTATTTACCGTTTCTTTCACATGTCGTCCAATTAATTTTGAAAAATCAAATTAAAGATTTACGTTTGTTGAAGAAAATTTTCACTCTTCTTAATTGTCGACTGTATAATAAAATGTTTAAACAAATAGATTATTATTTTGTCATCATATATCGTTAAATCTAATTTATTATTAAATACATATCAAAACCAATATAATCTATAGAAACAGAACCATTGATCAAACTTTTGATCATCGTACAAATCTTCACTTAAATCTGAACGATATACTCCCCCCCCCATCTCCCCAAAGATCTATACGATCTATAGATCGTTTATATATATAAAAAAAAAAAGAAAAAGAAAGAAAGTAAGAAAAAAAAAACCTTTAGGTAAGATTACGAAGAATAGAAAGTGTAAAGAAAAGAAGAGACAAGTCGTTGAGTGCAGTGGCCTGGAGAGTCTTCCGAAGGAAGGAAGGAAGGAAGGAAGGGGAGGGGGAGGGGAAGAAGAAGGGTGGTTGGTTTTAAGAGGGGTAAGAAGGAAAAGGGGTTGTGGATCGATATAGTTACGGGGGTGTCGTCCGGCTTCGTCAGTAAGTAACGCCGCCATGTGGTAGAATCGTGAACCTCAAACGACACCCCCCAGTCAATGTATATACATGAGAGAGAGAGAGAGAGAGAGAGAGAGAGATAGATAGATGTATCAAAGCGCCGCCGACCCACGTCAGGAAGAACGAAATCCACGTTGTCTGGTGGTGGTATTGGTGTTAGTATTGGTATTGGTATTGGCTAGTGGTAGTTTAGTTTCTGGTGTTGGTATCGCTATTACTACTTTTACTTGGTGATTGTTAGTATTGCTGTTGACTAATGTTATAATATTGTTAGTTCAGTTTTCTGTTGTTGGTATCATTATGATTAATTGATGATTGTTCGGTGTGTTGGTGTTGGCTAATGGTAATTCAGTTCTCATGGTGTTGGTATCGCTGTTACTACTTTTTTACATGGTGATTGTTGGTGTTGGTGGTGGTGGTGGTGGTTGTAACAACGAGCCGGCAGCGAGCGGCACTGATCTTAACAGAGCTGCTCGTGTCGTCTTTCAGAGTAACTCACTAACTCACTCACTCAGTACGCGAAGAAACAGCCGTCCGTTCGGTTCAACTGTATTCATTGTGCGTCCTCCTGGTCTTATTTTAATATTATTTCACTAATACTAACATTATTATTTTTATCATCTTTAATATTTATTTTTTAATCGATCTATCATATTATTATCAATTGATTGGTGGTCAGTCGTGATAGTTTTGTCAACTGTTGTTGTTATTGTTGTTGTTATTGTTGTTGTTATTATTATTGTTGTTTATCAAAACAGTTTTTAATCAGAGTGCTATTGATAAAAAGGGGGGTTTTTAAAGATCTTTTGTTGAGAACGCTGGTGAATCATTGACTAATACTATCAACTATTATTACTATTACTATTACTACTACTACTACTACTGTTGTAAGGGCAACGTGCTAACAAAAGTTCATATAGAAAGACAGAGAGAGAAAGGGGGTAGAAGGGGATAGGAGGGAGTACGATGGCACTGTGTCGTTGACCCCTTTCCGGATGTCTATGCACCTCTTATTCGAGGCGCCCTTTTAGCTCTTTCGACGTCTGCTGCGATTTTCGGATCAGATCAGTCAGTCAGTCAGTCAGTCAGTCAGTCAGTCAGTCAGTTAGTCAGTCAATTAATCCAACTGTAACGTTGTCTCTTTTGTGTCTGACTTTATCTTACAATTAGTTTCTTTATTAATCTATCGATCTTCTTTTAAAACAATCCAATTATACGATGATATTACCATTCCCTTTGAATCTTTTTAACTATTTAGAGGTTACACGTGTTTTCATTTCTATTGTTTAAGTTAATTAAATTGTTTTTATCTTTTTTTCCTTTGGATTAAGTATAATTTATTGGTATATCGATCAGGTGGAATAATTAAATGTATATATTTGTACGCTGGAAGGATAAAGATACCTGTTTGTTTGTTTGTTTGTTTGTGTGCGTGAGTGAGTCTATTGTTTTCCCATAGAATTAATTAATTATCCAGGCCAAGTGATCAGGGATTCGCGTGACGATGATATTATTACCTCCCCTCCACTCCACTCCACTCTGCTACTTTAATTTCATTTTTCTTTCGTCCTTCGTTTAACACACGCCAACTATTCTATCTTGATTTCCAAGATAACGTTTTGATCTAATGATCTACTACTACTACTATTAAAATAGATCGAAGATCATTTTTTGTTATTTTTTTTTAAATCAAAATTATTTATACCTTTTGTTATTTTGTTTTCCGCGCAGATGGTGTTTTTTTAGTTTTGTTTGAGGTTAGGTTGTGATGATGGTGGGGGAATGAACAGTTTCGTAAAATTTCAGCACGATTCGAAATTATTTCGTACGTTGTAAATCGCAATTTATTTTATTGAAAGTACATTTGATAATATCCAACATTATTTCCTAATGATTCGTAATTTATCGTAACTTTTTATTTTTTATATACATCATAGGAATTTCATCGTTGAGAGAGAGAGAGAGAGAGAGAGATAGAAAAGGGGGAAGGGTTACAGATAAACAGGCGCCACCGTGGCACCCTTCTAACCCGACATAAATCTAAATTGGTGGTCGTCTGTTGTGCGTGAGTTTCGTTTCGGGGGTAAACGTGATGATAGCTTTAAAAGAAAGAAAAAAAGAAAGTCAAGGGGGGGAAAAGAAATGAACGTTACAGACGTTTACGATTGGTCTACTCTCTCAGCGCAATTTGATTTCCCCCCACTCCTTCTCTCGAATAAAAAAAAAAAGTAATGACCATTATTCACTGGCGTTCTCGTAAAAAGAAAAAAAAAAGAAAAACGTACAAACACGAGCAAACAAATGAAAATTTTGTTGTTTTAAGTAACTAACTCTTTTTGTTTTTAATTAATTAATTAATTATTTATTTATCTATGCGTGTACTCTTATCGAAACAGGGTAAAACAAAAAAAAAAAAAAAGAAAAACACATACAAAAGTAATGTCGTTCAACAAATAACAAGTGGACACAATGGTGATAAGATAAAACTTAAGAAAAAAAAAAACAAAAATCATAACGAGTGACATCAATTTTGGATGGCTTGCAAAAGGAAACGTAAAAAGTTGAAGCATCGTCGGCAAAGTGTACAAATATATTTACAAACGAATTAATTATTAATTAACAAACGAGTCTATTATTTAAAAATTATTAAATAAATAATAATAATAATCGATAAAAAAAAGAAAAGAAAAGAACAGAAAAAAAAAGGAAATGAAAACAAAACAAATGTCATCAAAAATGACGTAGCAGCATCAGAGTAGAGGGAGAAGGACATAAAAAAATTGTGCGTGTGATTTTTTCGTCAATCGAATTTCACTTTCTTCCCCTCCACCTTCGTCTCATTTTCGAGCTAGAATTTGAACAATTTCTTCGATGTTTTTTTCTACTGCTGCTGCCGAATAAAAACAATAAAAAAAACAAACGCAATGCGGTAGCATTCGAAGAATGCATGAATTTTAAGTTAGTCGTCCTGTCGCATTATCTTTCGTTTTATCTTTCGTTTGTTGAGCGCGTAGGCGTATCAGGGGTGGTGGTGGTGGTGGTGGTGGTGGTGAGGGGTTGTCGTAGCGGAGGTGGAGGGGGAAACGGGGTTTTTTTGTGCCTTTTTTTTTTTTTTCTTTCTTTCTCTTCAATTGTGCTACGACGAGAGGAAAAGATCGAAGCCTCGTCGATTACGTTGGCGATGATCGGATACAATCAGCACAATTCGGGCTACAACAAGCTGTTCACTCAGGTATTATTTTTTTTTTGTTAACAAAATAATTGCAATAAATTGTAACAAAAATTGAAACATTGTTTCAATTAAATTCGTTCAGATATTTATATCTTACAAAACGACAATAATTTGACTATTTGTTTTAATCAATGAATTAATTACAATAATTTGTTACATTCAAAAACAAGCAGTAGTAACCCTTTAAACAAACAAACAAACAAATTATGATACACACGAACAATTGCATACACTTTGTTTCGTTGCTTTTTTTCCTCTTTTTTTATTCTAATAAAATACGAACGATCAAATATTCGTAATTGTAAAAATTATCCAATTGATTCGACGAATTTTTTATTGTTAACAAATATTTTTATATACAATATTGTATTGTTAAGCGTGAAGAAGAAGAGAAAAAAATAATCCCACACACATAAACAATCGTATATTTTGTCTATTTTAATATAACGCATACAATCGATCGATAATTAATAATATTATAAAATTAGACTATAGGTGTTGGTCAAGCCTTGCGTAAAATGAAACCTTACGGAGCATGATTAAAAAGCATAACAAACTTGAAATCCTTTATATCCTTAACGGTTTTTTTTTTTCCTTTATCATCATGGGGGTTTAAGCATTATTATTGGTGTTTGCTTTATCAAGCGCGTTTAAATTGTGCGACAGACAAGTTTTATTATGCACTTTCCACAACATTCTATAATATATTTCTATCTATCATCTATCTATCTTCTTCTTCTTCATATATATATATATATATATATATATATTTTTTTTTTTTCTTGTCCTTGAGATAACCCTTGTAATATCTAAAAACAATCTTTTCCTTTTATATTATACTATAAAAATAAGTATATAATTATTATTTTGTTCATATAAAACATGATTAGAATTGAAATGATTTCAACATTGATCAATTGAAAAATTATTTAAAAAAATAAAACAATTTATTCCACAGTAAAAATAAATCAACAAAAATCTTAGACCTTTTGATTGTAATAATATTTTTAGTATATTCAAATTTTCTTATATATCAAAATTACACCCCCAATTTCATATACTTAATCTACATTCAACTACTTTTAAAAAGATTGTTTAAATGTTTATGTTATATATAAAAATTCTACATCTATTTTTTAACTATATCAAAAACTCTCACATATGTTCATGCATAAAGAGAGAAATAGAGAAAGAAACATATATAAAAAAATATTTATAGATATGAATACATAAATAGCAAAGTTATTTTCATTCATGTCAAATATTTCCATCGAATTTCAACGCATACGAATGCAGAAATTGCTTACGTTCCATTCTGAAAGGGGTTGGGATTGGGGAGGTAGGGGGCTGGGGTAGAGAAGGGAAGGGAAGGGTTGCTTGGTTTCTACCTAATAGTGGTATATGGGTCTCTTCTATGGTGTGGTGTGGTGTGGTGGTATGTCGAAACCATAAAGGAGACACACATGTACATGTACATGAGAAATACAGAGGAACTTAGTTATAGGGGTGGGTATGCGAGGGTAAGCAAAGGCCGTTGGCATGACTACGACCCCCCGACCGAGTGAATTCGTTCTATGGAAAAGCTCCTTCGTCTCATGGTAACCAAGACGATTACGATTTCTTTTACAATAAATTTATTTTTTGTACTTTTTTCTTATTTTATTTCTATGTTAATTATCTTCGTGTAATTCATTTCTAAATGAATTTTATCCTATCTGCATACATTTTTCTTTTTTTCTGAATAATTTAAATATATATATAAAAGTATTGAACAACGAACGAGACCTTGAAAATTTATTTCTCTCATTTTTCCTTTCCTTTCTTTTATTTTTTTAATCACTCGAATGATTATCATTCGTATCACACATGGAATGAGAGAATATTATTATTGATCGTGTTATCATTTGATTACGAATATGAATTTGTAATGTTAATATAAAATGAGGGAGAGGGGAAGATGAGATTTAATTTATTAAAACAGAAAATATCTTATGGAATTTTTAGGGATTTCATTTAGGATTATATATATATATATATTATGTATGTTAAAAGTTTCGGGCAAAAAAATTTAACGTTGACAGATGAGATTTATGTTTGATTGTAATTCAGTATACTAGGAGGTATCGTATATCCTTGTTGAAGAGTACTATAACATTTTTATACTATTACTACTACTACTACTATTTTTCTTTTTTTTTTTTCCCGTAGTTTCTACGAGTACACATCTCCCTTGCGTATTGTTTCCTTTTCCTGTTTTTTTTTTTATATGAAAATAAATCAAAATATTCTTCTCGAATTTATTTCATTCATTATTTCAAAAAGCTTTCAAATATATTTTCATAAAATAAATATTATTATTATTAAACACACACACACACACACACATCCATCCATTCGAGAGAAATTTTATTATTTATTTCTAACAATACTTTTCTCTACGATTATAACAATATCCTTTTTACCTTGGAAATATATTTAAATGTAATTTTAAAAAGAAATATTTGGCAAAATAAATAAAAAAAGTCATATCTTTTTATTTGAAATATTCTCGAATAAATATCATATCATACTTTTACGACAATAACAATTGTTCTAACTATCGATATAATTAATTGTTTCATTTAATTACAATTAAATGAATATGATTTCAATGATCATGATGATTATGATGATATTTGTTTTTCTTTTTTGTCTAGGGCTCGGCGGATTCAAACTACTCACAGCCGAGCTCGGATCTCTCGCTGGACGAGGAGAAAGAAAACATAAGACGTGAAAAAGAGAGGCAGGCCCTTAATCAACTTGAAAAAGCTAGGGTGAGTCACATTTGTCCTTTACACACTACCATGTTCTAGTTAGCTTCATGCTCTTTACCTTCCTCTCTTTCTTTCTATCTCAAGTTCCACCATTTCTTTCTCTCCCTCTCTCTCTCTCTCTCTCTCTCTCTCTCTCTCTCTCACTCTTTCTTTCTTTCTTTCTATCTATCTATCTATCCATCTTTTTTTTTCTATCGTGAAAATATAAAAGACAAGTGAGAAAGACTATCGATCGTTTTTGTTCAAACATTCTATGACAATACTACTGACTATACCTTCTTTTTTTTATACCCCATAAAATATAAAATAATATACGAAAAAAACATACTGACACAATTGATAATAATTATTATTATTATTATTCATATAAGTGTTATAATAATTAAATGTTTTATTAATTATTGTGTCGGAGAGATACGTGTTAATTGTTTAATATAGGATTATATTAATGGGTAGCCATCTTTGATATATATACATATATAATTTACGGATATAATTGATTATTATTGTTATTTATATAAATATTGTAATAATTTAATGTTTGTGAATAAATATAAAATAATATACGAAAAAAACACTGACACAATTGACAATAAT